CATCTGCTCCTTCTCCAGCAGGGACCTTTAAAGAATGGAGCTGGAACGGGGAAGTATTGATGGGATGCTCGTGGGATATGGGGTCTGGACAGGGAACAAAGATATGGGGAGATAAGAGAGACCAGAGCTTCTGTCCTGTAGGAGAATGGGGGCTGCTATTTAAAACTTATGGTCTATGTCAAATTGCAGCACAGTAATTTGTTCAACCAAAGCAGGAAAAAAAAAAATAAAAAAGTGGTTTCATTTGAAATTTCAGTTTAGAAAAATCCTCCAAAAATCAGTCTTTTCCTGTGGAAAACTTTGATTCTGACAAAACTGAAAAATTTGCAGCATTCCGGCCCATGAGCAGTGTCTTGCTCCATGGCTGATCTATCTGAACAGAATTAGGTTGTGCTCTGACTTTGAAACCACTCAGTAATAGTTAAAAAAAAAAAAAAAAAGAAAATCATCCGTTCTTCCACATCTCTCTGGTTTCCCTAGACAGCACCAAACACAAATTAGCCCCCATTTCTCAATAATGCCTGCAGATACCATCATCACATCATTAACAATAGTCAATCTTTTGGTCTTACCCTATAACATCCTGTAACAGCAGACCTAAAAAAAATATGCTATTGGATCAGATTCGATTTTCTGAGAAACAACGTTTCAGGTCTATCGTCAGGTCTCTCTTCCTAGTTTCTCATACACAATAGGACTAAAATGAGAAATCACTTCATATGTCCATACTTCTAACAATAAACTATTTTTGTATTTCCTTTTCTTTCCTTTCTGTATGGATCACATATCCACAAGGGCTAATATATCATGTCCCTTGAGGTTACATTTCTGTCTGCAGTTCTAAAGTGTTATTTCCACTGTGCTTCAGTTCTACTGGTATAACCACAACCATGTATAATGTACTTAAACCTTACTTTTTAAATAAATCATTTTAAATGTATTCATTTTTGTGTGGAGAAAGGTATATAGATTTTTAATTTCCAGATTCTTGTAGCTGAGATTTCTGTGTTTATTTTTACACATTTCTACCTCTTTTGATTGCAGCTGGGGATGTTACTGGAAGCCAATATATCAGAGAGAAAAAATATTCTTGTGGTCCCGCGGACCACGAAATCCCCAAAATAAGTTATCTTCACAACTTTTCCAGGCATTTGGGTAGGAAACTAAGAAAAATCTTCTAGTTTCTGGCTTAAACTTGGCCCGTATGAGACTCACTTTGGTTTAGGTGCCCGGTTTGAGACTGGGATGTTGGCTGGAGGCTCTGCAAATCACCATCAACACAAATAAGCCAGTGTCTTCTGAAGTCCTAGCCCCGAGCCTGCCCTTTGCCTCCACCTTTTGAGGTTTCATGTGAATTCGCTTCTGAGCATCCTCCTCTCCCTGCTCGTGTCGGTTTTGCCTGAAGAATGCTTGACCCCGCGTGCTGAAGCTCCACGAAAGCCTTGCTCTAATCACCACCACGAAATCCCAGCAGTACGAGCGGCACCCAACATGGGTCAGCAGTTCACCAGCCGCTCACCGCTCCCAGACATCCCGAACCATCCCTGTATCAGAGACAATATTTCTTCTTCAAATACCTCTTTTAACTTTACCTTCCCGGTTCCTAAGCCTCCAGATTGTCTTTAAAGCTGAAGCCTGCCTGCGTATCTCTCTCCGCCTGCCTCTCCCCATACGGATGATCAATGGGCACGTCTGGAGAGAGGCAGGGGATTCATCTTTTCAAATGCCTCTGACATCTGGTAGTGAAACCATTTAAAGCTCAAGCCCAAAGCCGGTTCCCTTGAACTAAAATAAATAAAGGCTCTTCCCACATTGCTGAGCAATTCTGCGGGTAAATAGCCACAGTCAGTGGCTGCCCTGCTGTGAACAGGGATGTATCAAAGAGTGATGTTGTTTGAGTGGGAAGCAAAGACAGTCTTTAAGGCTTTGGAAAGTGGGAAAAGAGTCCAGCGTGGAGGATGTGGCATTTCCTCGGAATGAGAAAACCAACAAACATGGGAGGTGCCGAAAATAAAAGGGAATGAGGAGTGCTCTGCACCTGTCTGCGCAACGGCTCGCCCTAACGCCCCCGCCGCCCCCCCCCCCCACGGCGCTTACCGAAACGAC